AATCAAGGAACAAAGTATGATCTCTTTCACAAATCTCCAATTCATATAGACTCTCAAGCATCTCATGTTCTCTTAAATCAAATGTCAACTCAAAGTATCGCTCAAAAGCAGAAGATGAATTGAAACTTCCGTTGATAAGCAAGTTTCACTCACCACTGTGGTACGTATTCTTGACAAAAATCTTTATTTGGTAGGTCTTGTTTTTTGGTGACTATTGCAAATCTGAGATGTCTAGTGGAGCGAAATACCTATTATGTTTTCTTATATTGTGTATCTTTATCAGTCTGTTGTCCCATTTCTATGCTTTATTTCTCTCTGGGTACAAGAGAGTCGTAGAGGTTATGAGGGCAATTACGATTGTTGCCACAGCCTTTGGCCTTGTTACTGCAACTAGGCTCCATATGTCAAATGCAGTGGTTGTCTAGTCAATGTTGGCGTTTTAATTGTAAGTGCACCAACGATTTTTGGTTATGCTATAAAAACTGTTATTTGATATTTTTGTATGTGTACAAAGGCATAGAAAAACATTGTGTAGAGAATTAAGAAAGGTTTATAGGAGTTTTAAAATAGTTATTGGTTTCCCATATTTCGTTTGCTGTAATTAGTGTTTCTCATAGTTACAAAATACATGTTTTTGCACCATCTTCTTCTTATAAAGATCTGTTTATGTTTCCAGAGAGAATAAATTATGAGCATCCTAGTCAATGAGAGGATTGGACATAAATTTTTTGCTGAAAATTGTGTAAAACTTGAATGATGGCTGTGTGAAATTGTTAGAGTTTTGGTTGGAAAGTTTTGGGGATTTAAGGGGTATAAATTGTTGTTGGAAATTTTACTTTAAGCTTGAAGGTGTAGTGATTGAGTTTAATAATTAAAACTGTCATGATTAAGAGTTTTCTGGGGGTTGATTACAGAGACCCAAAGTTTTGTGACTGTTTAAGTGTTTAAGAGAAAGACATTTTATGGGTATCAAATGGAAATGTGCATATAAATAATGTTGTTCCGCGACTACAAGATTTCATCCATGTTTTACATGCTGCATGGGTTGAGAATTATTTTCTGTATAATTAAAACATTTCCTCTATTATATACAGGGGCGGATCCAAAAATTTCTATTAGGGTGAGCTAAAATAAAAACTAATTGCACATTAATATTTTTGTCCATTAATATTTCTACTAGGATGGGTTAAAATCCAGAAATTGGACATATTAATAACTTTTTTTTTTTAATTTGAGGGTGGGCCATGTAGTATTGCATCTGTCCTTGATTATATATATTGCATGAGAGCATTCTGCCTTGGCGAAGATTTTTCCCTACTATGGTAGGATTCCCAAGGGGCAGTGTATAATTTTTTTGTGAATATTGAAGCATAGAAACGGGGTTAACGTAAGGTTCAAAAAGTTTGGGCCTGAATAAAGGGCAAATATTTGGTGTAAATATATATTTTACAAGGTGATATATTTTTGAAATTTTTAGAGTATTGTGCCTATATTTACATGCTCTCTGCACCATGACTTTGCTCAATTTATTCACATGGGGTAAGTTCATTGTCAAGAACTTGCTAGATTGTCTCAGAATGGTTCCAATCTGAACCTGGTTGAAAGGGATGAGTTAGGAGGAGCACAAAGAAGTTATTGTGACAAACATTACTAAAGATTGTACATTCATGACAATATAGTTTTAACCCTTTTGGATTGCAAGTCAAGAGTCTAAAGTTTAGTGTTTAGAGCCTTCGGTATTATAAATATTTTTGTTGAATAGAGAAATGGTGCCAAATGAATACTAAAGATTGTACATTGAAGTGGCATATAGGAATCTTTTGAATGCAATATAAAGATTAGTCATTCTTAAATGCAGACGTTTTGAAATTTTTAACATGCGGACGAAAGGTGAGTATCTAGACGCTCACTTTACAAACCCTACAATCAAAAGTAAGCAATTAGACGTTCAACTTTGGTCTGCATGTTAAAAGTTTCAAGACGTCTGTATGGGAGAATTTTCAATATAAAAATTGCATTAGTGCCTTAATTTCTTGCCTTTGTTCTTATGGTTGGGAGGATTATAAACTCACTTATCTGTTCTCTTTTTTTCCTTCCTACAGGCGAACAGCTGTTTGCTCCAGCCCTGGCTTTGGGTCCTAGAAAGTTCTTATCGTTGCATCATTGCAGCAGAAGTTACTGTGCTTGGATTGATTGGAACAGAGTGATGAAATCTTTTGCTAAATTTCTCAGAATACTTTAGCTAGAATGATTTGGTTTATGTACCTGTTTTTTCCCCTTTTATCTATGCTTGCTATTTTGTTATACTTCAATTAAAACTGGTTCTTTTCAATTCGGGCCATTTTGTTTTCCCTCTAGTAGTTATTATTTGGAGCAGTTTGTTCAAGGTAAGAGGTCAGGCAACATTGAAAGTATTTATATCGTGGACGAGTAATGTTATATATACAAAGTTGACGTCTCAACTATGACAACTATGTATGTGGTAACGTCACTTTGATCATAGGATGATGAGGTAATTGAGATTAGCGTAACTATTTTTAAAGTTGATATTTTATCTTTGTTTACTGAAACAATCATGAGATAAATTAACTTATTTTACTTGTTGATCAAGAGCAAGGGCGGATGTTACTCTAGTTCCCCCCTCAAATTAAAAAAAAATAAAAAAAAAAAAAAAATAATATGTACATCGAGGGAAATAGTCTTATTTCAATTGTTGAGCACTATTCATTCCTTGCCTTTCTTACAAACTTGAACAGAATGGTCTTATTCGTTTCTTGCAACAAAGGGAAAACTGAAAAGTGAAAACCGTGTCTCAAGCCAAAATGCCTTTTTAGACTTAGCACCACTTCAAATTCAGATATCTTTTATCAACAACATGGACATGAGGAACTCCCTGACTTGGCCAATTTTTCTCTTCTCAAGAACACGGATGCTAGCGACTCCATTGAAGCCGCCATCTTAAGAGGTACATTATTTTAATTATATATTATATTTTTGCCATCAATTAAGTATATACAAGATACAAAGTCTCTAGGTCTTGGTCTGTACATTAAAAACTTAAGGACGTTTCTGCCTGAGAATTTTCACACCAGATATATATAACATGTAAAATCATACTTCATTTTTCATGCTAGTGCTTTGGTGGTTGTATGATGTTAATTAGTGGGCTTTAATGATAAGAGATGAAGATTTTTAACCGGAGTTGTTTACTTTCATATGTTGAACCATATACTTTCTCTTATAACTCATGGAACTTATTAAAACTGTAATAAGTTCTATACTCTTCAGGAAGGGATGCTCTGCCTAGTCATTTCTTGTTCAAAATCGAGTCCTTCTCATTACTAGAAGATTCAATTGATATATACAGAACAAGCCAATTTGAAGCAGGGGGTTTCAAATGGTATTTTATTTCAAGAACAGTTTTATCTGTTTTCCATAGTTTTTAAATATGCTTACTTGCCAAATTAGTATCAAGACCTTTCTTTGTTTCAGTTTACCATTGGACCTGGTTTTACAGGAGATTGCTGATATACCAACAGGGGACTCTAGCAAAAACGCGGAAAATCATATCTCCATTTACCTGGAATTGATGGAGACAAGTTCTCTCCCTGCAGGATGGGAAGTCAATGTGATTTTCAATTTTCTAATATTCAATCAGCTTTAAGACAAGTATGATAGTCTCCAAGGTAAAGTGCTTAAAGACTAACAGCAGAGCTCATACGAGGATCTATTGTTTATATGATTCGTTTGCATCAACTTGTGGTACCACATATTCTCTCTTACTTTGACAGAGTAAATTATACAGATAGAATGACGATAAATCCAGTGCCTAAGTTTAGAAATTGTTATGCTTTTGCACTCAATAGATTCATTAATGTTTGTGATGTAGATGGTAGAGTAAAGAGATACCATGCAATGAAAACCAAATGGGGTATCACCAAATTCATAGACCTGAAAGCATTTCATAACCCTCTTAAAGGATACCTTATCGATGATACTTGTGTCTTTGGCGCTGAGGTTTTTGTTGTCAAAAGTACTTTTAAAGGGGAGTGCTTATCGATGATCAAAGAACCTGCTACATGTTACCATCTTTGGGAAATCACAGAATTTTCAACTTTACTTGATGAAAAATATTTGTCTGAACCATTTGGAGATTATAACTGGTACAAATTCACTTCTGATATGCAATGGCTTTTATTTTTCTTTGCTAGATAAACCACTGCCTGGGTTGATTAATATTTCGTTAATGCAGGAGAATTTCGCTCTACCCTAATGGACATGCAGAAGGCAAGGGTAACAGTATTTCAATATTTCTATCGTTGTACAAGGAAAGCCTTCCTCTGAGTACTAAGCTGTTTGTGAAATACATTCTGCGTGTCAAAGATCAAACAAAAGAAAATCATGTCGAAATTGAATGTGAGACTCCTTATTGTACAACTTCAAGTAGAGCTTATGATAACATAGTTTTTTTCTCATACATAAACTAATCTCTTTAGGGTTGCAACTCGAAAATCAGGAGAAAAAAAAAAAAAATAAATAAAATAAACCTGAACTGGCATAGAGGAATATTTGAATGCAGTATAAAGATTGCATCAGTGCTATAATTTCTTGTTGTAACTCCCTTCCCTGTTCTTCATTATAGTTTTTAATTTTTCCTTCCTGCAGATGAAACGGTTTTTTCTACAATCCTGGATTGGGGTGCTAGAAAGTTCATCCCATTGCATAAACTCAAGGATCCAAAACAGGGTTTCTTGGTGAATAACACTTGCATCATTGAAGCAGAAGTTACTGTGCTTGGGTTTATTAAAACATGAGTCATGAATATGTTGATTAATGTCTCAGAATGCTTTAGCTATATTAGTTGGTTTAACTTGGCTTGGCCTTTCTTTAACCCTATATATGCTGCTATTATGTTATACTTCAATTCAAACTGGTTCTGTTCAATTTGTGCAATTCGTTATGCATTTAAATGAAAGACTATAGAATCCAAGTAACTGATATGCTTGAGACAAATAATGTTATTCAACAAATTGTTACATTATTGGTACATGATATTACATGAAAAATTACATGTAATATAGTTTTATTGCAATCAATAAGTAATGATGTGAATTCAATTCAAGCTCAATAGCTTTGCAATATCACTTTGATCAATTATATGGGGTGGTTCTGAACTAGAAATCAAGGGCAGGTTCATTATCAGGGACTCACCGGATTGTCGTATAGAACTGTTTCAAGTGTGTATTTCAATTAGTCCATAAGCCGATCCATGAGTAGTTTGACGATGGATGGAGCATCGACCGTGACTGCTACCTTTACTGTAGGTTTCTCTGACCACTCGGTGACCTCTGCGAATCTGGTTCAAATGGATGAGTTAGTAGGAGCACAAAGATGATGCAACAGATGACAGATAATAAAGACGTCCAGTAGTGCCTATTTACGACCACGAAAAAACAAAAATTTCGAGAAGTACTTAATTTCATGAAATTTTAAGTTCCAGACTGACTTCAGCCTAAAATGATGTCTACGCACATTGTTCATTTCATTTTCTTCGAAGGAATTAGCTCGACTAAGTCATACTACTGGCAATACCACAACAGCAAAGTTTCTCAGCTTCACTTCAGAGACCTGATATCAGGGTATAAGCAGAAACTAGGGGGTAGCTGATAATTCAATGTTCTTATAAAAAAATGCTACAAGATGTATCAGATTTAAAGTATCATCTCCTCAGGTCGCTGAGGAGATGCTACAAAATGTCATACCTCTTTTGTTTGTTGTATAATATTGTGAGTCCTCTTGTAATTCCACTAGTCTGGACTCTGACAACACCCTCAGTATAAGTGAAAAGTGAAGGATTAACAGCTACAAGAAGAGCTGCTGGATCATGAAGGTAAACTCCTATATGTATCAAGATTAAAAGATCATCAGCTGACAGATTACGGTTTCCCAGTTTCCAGGGCTCTATCAATTATTATGACAACATACCTCTCATAGAGTATGCCTCACGATGATAAGCAAAGTACACCTTAAGATTTTGCTTAAATACTGAGCAAATTTTCCATTCGATTGTGCCAACTTCTCTCGATCAGCATCTAAAACATAGGAAAATAGATCAAAACAGAATCAAAATGTAGTAGTGAATCAACTGAATACAATCCAGTTACAATTGTGACTGATGCCCATAGCAAGGTTATAAATTACAATATTCATAACAAAATATGGTTTCCGCGTTTATAAGAAATTCATATATTTTTTATATGAGCAAAAGTGAATTTTGATTGCCTGGAGTTCTAAACAGAACTCAAGTGGCAGCCCCAACCAGTTGGGCTGTGGCTCTTCAGTTGTGTTGATTTGGCACACTCTAATTGAGTTACAAAAAATGTATAACAGAAAGAAAATTCTGTCTGAGGGCATTAAGAGATCATATTGTTCGATGGTAACAAGTATGGCAAGCCAGCAGGCAGGCAGGCAGGCAATATTGAAGTAAAAGTCAGAACAAGTCGTGGCCTGCTACTGAGTGAGAACAATACAACATTACCGAAAATATGGTCCACAGAACGGTATTCATGTTGTTGACTAGAACAATCACAGATAAATAACAACATGAAATCGATATACACACAAATGCAGAAGAAGATAAAGGGTGGAAGCATGTCTGTTTACATAATCAGCAACACGAATGACACAAGACTACCAAACAAGTACCTGTCATAACAACTTGATGAGTAACATTAATACCCACAGCCACAACATCTGCTCCACATGTAATACATATCTGCAGCTCTGGATCACCAAAATCTGCATGCCCAGTGCAAGAATTAGAAAGGATATCAGAGAGAGTGAGTACAGTTGTGCAGCAAATGACAGAAGTCCTAATTAAGTGGCTGTAATTTGGAGATGATAGAGAAGCACAGGAGTGTATCATCTAATGAACACAACATTAATAGCTATGGACGTTAATTATGTAACTTATATGGTCAGACAGTTGACATCCAAAGACTTAGATTTGAGGAACTCACATTGGCTTCTGCTGCTGGATTCACATTGCCATTTACCGAGAAAGCACCACCGAGAAGAACTATCTGCCCAATGTTCTTTACAAATGCAGGATCTAGTTCAACAGCCTGTATCAACAGAGAAAATATCAGTAAGTAACTTAGATGAAACTTAATGAAAAACCAACTCAAATTAACAAAAATCTGACTGACCAGTGCAAGATTTGTTAGTGGTCCTAATGCCACCACGGTGACTTTCCCAGGGTAAAGTTTTGCTTGCTCAACCATAAAAGCAGCTGCTGATTGTTCAATTGCCTTTCCTTTTGGTGGAGAGAAATTTTGGTTGCCAAGTCCGTCAGCACCATGGACAAAATCAGCAATACGAAGTTTTGTACCTTTCTTTAAAAGAAACAGCAATTCAATATATTGATGAGCCATAACACCCAATCACACAACAGCATAGCCTTTGCTGTGAAATCATACCGACACTCGCATAAGATTTTGAAATCATACGGACACTCGCATAAGATTTCAAGTTAACTTTTGTACAACAATATATAACTATGTCATTCACATGAGTATTATATCAGTTGCATCAAAATACTTGAGATCTGAGGACAGAAATAAATCACTAAAATGGCGACTAACCATTTCCTTTTAAAGAAATTTTGCCTTTTGTTTTCGAAAATTAAAGAAACTAGCAACATAGCAAACTGGAGGTTACCTAAAAGTTACTGCCAGAACATTCAAACCAAGATAATCCCATTTCTGGGAACAAAACAGAAGCTGAAATGAGTTGAAAAAAAAAAAACTCTGGACAAATTATTCAACATTCTTTTATCATATTCTTTGTAGAGATTCCCATGTATTTGTAGACAAAGACATGGGAATATTGGTACATAAGAATATCATGAACTTTAAGATCTTACTTTAAATATTCCTTGGATTAATCAGCATCATATGACTAGACAATACCAGAGAAGGCACTTCTAAAAGTGCTTTTAAACAGTTGGTCCCATAAATTATAATTGAAAGAATATTCTCTAAAGGTACAAATTCTGGAGAAAAGAGAGACGAACACATACAGTGATAGTGAAATGAGATCCTTCAGCCACCGGAATGTCAGTCCTCTCAGCAACCTCCAACTGACCCAAAAAGATTCAATCACCACGTCCAAAAAATCTACCCATTTGAACTAAAACATAAAAACACTACAAAAATACACAGAAACAAAGAGTTATAGCACAGTTTAGCTACCAAATGTAAGGCGTTTCTTGTGGCAAGTGTTGTGTAAACATTGCCATAAATGGTAGTGAGTCCTATAATCTCAACTTCTGGTGACCTCAAGGCCAAAAAGATTGCCATGGCATCATCTGAAACAACATGCAATCAAAAGTTATTGCCTCCATGGTGAAAATCATGGGTACCCAGATCTTGAAAGAGAAGATTTTGATGGTAAAGATTGACTCACCAATACCAGGGTCAGTGTCAATGATGATCTTCCTCGGTTCTGCAGCCATTTTTGTGTACTTTCTTCTCTTTCTTTGGAAGGGAAACAAATAAGGAGATGATTAGATTAGATTACATTAGATTAGTTTTGTAAGTGATTGCTGAGTCAGAACTGAAATGGCAGACTGGTTGATGGACAGTTAAGAAAGGAAGAAGGCTGCACCGTGGACTGTGAAGTGTCAACTAACTCTTAAGTACTTGTTCTTGTCAGGATTGTGGGCCTTTTAGATTTACAATAACCCAATTTGGGCTTTGGTTTCACCTTTCCATTGAAGATTTTCATATCGATAGAAAAAAGGAGGTAAGTTCACTCTCACCCCGAGGATCGATCATGTATTCATGTTTCAATCAACCATGTTAGCATATGATTTTCCAATGGAAGGGCATAATTTTTTTTTTTTTTTTTAAGGAGTTCGGATCAGTTTACACGCACCTCAATTAATCCTTCAAAACCTTAAAGTTGACAGTTAAATAAATATTCTTAATAATTATACCTATTATAAACTTATTTGGCAAATAAGAAATCATGATTCAATTAATTCTTCAATCATGATTTGATGATTCATACGAGCTAATGTTACTTTCATTACTTTTCACAAGCAGTAAATATTGAATTATGATCAAATCATTTATATAAAAAAAATAAGATTATTCTTAATTTTGTAGATAAATCACGATTTAATTAATTTTTAAATCATCATATAAGGAATACAAATCCGAAAGAAAAGGTGACAATATCTTCAATACTATAAGCTTACCAAAAAGATTCCCAATAAAAGCGTAACTACTTTTTACAAACAAAAGCTCTAATGTAACGTTCTCAAATTAAAAAAAGATGGGGAAGAGAAACACGTGCTAAAGAGAGAAAAAAATAATAATAATTAAATATTCTTAATCATAAATCATCATTGTGTATTCCAGCCGTTAATTAGGACTCTTGAGTGTATTACTCAAAAAGTCTTGAGTTTGATTCACCTGAATTGTTAATAGGAGTGACTAATGACAGAATTTATCCAATTATTAACTTTAGGACCCAAAAAAATTAATTGAGATGTAAATAAATTATATTTATTAGATGAAGATAAAAAGGTATGGTAATCTATAGAAAATGTGATTCGCTCGTCCTAATAAGTACCTTTTCGTCTTTTCGAGAAATGGGCCTAGTTCTGATGGGTTTATTGACTACACCAAGCTTAGCCCAACAATCAAAAGAGACAAAAAAACAACCACAACCACAATGGCAAAGATGCAATTATTTCTCAACAAAAGGGCAAAGGTAAAACCCATAACCCCTTTCCCCCTCCATTGATTTTCAAATCAAATCACATAGAAACCTCCACTAGATCTCATTCTGTACTCTCTTACACAAAAATGAACCCACCATCGTCATCTTCTTCAAAATCAAGAAAACCCCATCACAGAACAAACTCAAAACTTGAACCTAAAACAAAGAAAAACCTCTCTTCTGGAAACCCTTTGCAAGATCTCAATACCACCATTGTCACTCCAAGCAACAGTAAGAGTAGCAGCAATAGCAACAACAGTAGCTTTGAAGCTCCAAGGGGTTGTCTCAGGTTCTTTCTCTCAAATTCTTCTTCTTATTCAAATGCTAAAACCCCTTTAATTGATAGGCCAATAAAAATCAAAACTTTAGGAAAAACCACCCCCAAATCGGCTCCCAACCCATCAAAACCTTCAAAACGCAGCGTTTTACGGAAACCCTTCTCGCAGAATGGGGAGAAGGTTAGAAAAAACCCGCCTTGTTTGTATCAATGGCAGTCTGGGAGAAAACCCACTTCAGGAAATGGGTCAAAATCCAAAATTTCTTCAGTTTTGGACTCCAGTGGCAGTCTTGTAAATAAAGTGTCATCTGGGTCTGAGATTAGGGTTTGTGATGTGAATTTGACTCCTTTGAGTAAGGTAGCAACTGGTTCAGGCTTAGATTTTAGAGAAAATGAGAAAGAAATTGATGTTGATGATGATGAGAAGTTGTCAATCCCTAGTGGAAACGAAAATAAAACTCCTCCTATTCAGGCCTCTGTGTCTCCAGAGATTCAAACACAATGTGGCTCATCTATAGTGGCTACAGCGACCACGCCGGCTTGTTATGCTGCTGGTTATGTTGTGTCTGGTGTCACTGACAAGAGGAAATGTAGGCCTAGAGGGATTCTTACTGTAGGGGAAGATAATGTGCTAGACTTTGGTGCAGCTAAGGATATTAGTGGTTTTGATGAAGATGATGATAGCAACAAAGAGAATGTTCTGGGAGTTGTTGATAATTCTTCTACTGTTTCTATGTTGCCTTTACCTGCTGAGGCTTCGATGCATTGGCTTTTGTCTCCTTGCAATGAGGAGGACGAGGATCATAAGGAGAATTCTGAAATTGGGTCGTGTAGATATCAGATTCATTCTCCTAATTCAAGTTTGTTCGATGACGAGTTTAATTTTTCAGATTTATTTAATGGTAGCAATAGTCGAAGCAGTGTTAGTGTTAGTGCTAGGAAGAGGAGGAGCACTTCTTTGTATTCTCCAGGTGAAGGAATCTTGTGGCCTTCTCCTGACAATGAAGCTGTTTTGTCTACCCCCAATTGTACATCTAGTTGCAAGGGTGCAGGTTTGGAAGAAGAGAGGAAACGCTGTGATGATTTTGATCGAGAAAATTCTCCATCCTCCATGGATATATCAGGAAGCGGAAATGTTGTTCAAACTCCAGAGTCTGACTCAAGTTCTGATAGAGGTGTTGGTTTGTCGCGGTTAAAAGCAGAAGCTGGTAAACAACATCAATTTGATTCTGAACTTGATCTGATCACCAAAAGTCTCCAGAGGACAAGTTTATCTTCCAAGGGTTATGAATCGATATGGGATATAACCAGTTCAAGTTTTCAGTTCGATTGTTTGACAACAGCCTCCAATTCTGTTGATCTTTCCCACTTCCAGAAAATTTTGGATGACCGGTCGTCTTGGATGTCTACTTCTACTTTAGGGAATGTGTCACAATCACAGATGAGGATATCATGGAGAGACGGATTGGTGAGTCGGATTTTTGAGATGGATGAGTTTGATAGTTGCAGATACTTATCAGATGAAGAGGAAGATGCCAGTGAGTATTACAATGAACAGTTGAAATCCTGTCAGAATCCAGAGTTCACTGTTGATGAAGGGAAATATGAGATTCTGAAAAATGGTTTTGGATCAGCTGAATTTGTAGATACTGAACTGAAAACTCGAGAAAAAAGTGAAGAAAGACTGCCTTCTCAACTATCTTGTTCTTGTGCAGAGTCAATAAGCACTGATGGAGGCGGCCTCACGGCTTCAGGGGATTCGGATTGGACTCTATGCTATAAGAACCAGTTATTTAAAGTATGACTTGTGTTCCTCTCTTACACTCATTCAATCCTCTATTGTTTAGTCAAACTAACCTTTGATTGAAAGTGGTTCTTCTTGGCGGTCATTCCATTACTTGTAATTTCACCTGTGTTTTAATTGAATTTCTTCATTTAAGATGTTCTGTTCATAAACGATAGAATGCTTTCTGAATTATATTTGACTCTATAGTGAAAAATTCTTAGCAACTCTGTTGTGCATGCTTTGCAATTGCTTGATAACCTGTGCTGGTTGCATAAGAAGAGGTATTGGCTAGCAATTTTTTTCGTGTCACATGATTTATGTCATTTATTACCAATTATTAGTTCCAACAAGCATGAATAAAAAATGGTTTCTATTTTTTTCAAAATCCAGGCTAGTTTGCAGTTTGCATAAGATTTTAGAATTTTCACCATGTTATATGTTAAACTACTATTTATCGACATGGGAATGTTGCTATACAAAATTTTGTATTTTGACATTAACAGCTGAAAGATGTTGACACTGATGAAGATCTGAGACATACAGAAAGAAGCTTGAGTAGTATACACTATAACAAGTGAGATTGAGCTAGCTAAATTACTCAGTCTATCCTCTAAAATGGTGTGTTGCACGGCTGACTACTGAATTGTCAGAAAGTTGTTGATAGAGGAGAAATTTATTTTTGAGTTCCCTTGTGAAGATATTTCATTTGAAGATTCATGAATTGTAGACAGCAATTCTGTCATTGAAGATGAGTGGTTACTGTTTATGTTCTGTGCCTTACAGGGTAAGTTGTTTCTATGCATGACACGCAAGCTTCTTGATGGATGCTTGTAAATTTGAGAAAGGGATTATAAAGAGAGTAGATTAATGTTCTTTTTGGTCTGATTATGTTTTGGTCATTTCAGAAAGGCAATAAAGATGCCGTGGCTAATTTGTGAGTGTCGTTGACATTATGGTTCCCATATTAAGAAACTTCCAAATTTTTTGTTGTCTTATAGTGAAGTTCTTTGATGTGGATAAGCTGCAAATTGTTGCTTGAGCCTTGGATAAAGATGTTGCAGAAGACCATAGGATGATGTTGGGCCAACAGAGCTTGGTGGGCATAGGGTGTAAGGATACCCCATTATGTACATCATTGGATAAGCCCAAAAAAGCGATGGGCAATGGTATGAAAATGGGGTTAACCTTACCGAACCATTACGAATATGGAAAAATGAGGTGAAATGAAAGAAGAATCATGATGTTGAAGTTTATAAATTAAAGGGTTGACTTCTTTGATTTGAAAAATTGGGTAAAAATCTCTTTTGTAGGGGAAATTTCTGTTAAATTTACGAAAATTCAATAGACGTTTTCGATAAATTTAAAAGAAATTAACGATGATTTCATAGTTTTAAAGAGGAATTCAGTCTTAATAGATGCTCAAATTCAGCAACAAATTTTCTGATTCTATCACCATCTAAGTAATAATCTAGTATTTCATTTTCCTTGCCTTCTTCAAAGGATGTACTATCACTTTTTCAACATTGACTAATTTAACGTTGTATTTTTACTAATATGATGTTGCAAGTTCAAACCCTTTATTTAAAACAAAATATCAAAGCAATTATTTGGGAACTACGATCTTCCAATAAACCATTAAACAACGAACGATAAAAGCAAGGAAAAGTTGTAATTAGATAGCCTGTTAAAGAAATTAATTAATTGACTCGTAAGTTTAAACTAATAGGTACGAGTTTAATCAATATATGAAGCAAACAATCAACTTCAAATATTTTTATAAGAGTAAACGACATATTCCCACCCAAGGTTTGACGAAACCCCAAATTGGTACCACAGGTTCCATTTATTCCAGATTCTCACCCTTAAAATAACACTATTAACATTTTTTAAGATAGTGAGGGCGCAATTACCATAATGCCCTTTAACCCTAAATTAATAAATTATATTTTAACCCCTAAATTACTAAAATTATAAAATTAACCATCTTATTTTGAAATTACATCAATTACACCCTCAGTGACTGTGCACCGTCTCGGTTTTCACCGAATCTGGGCTATTTTCGATGCCGGCGAAACCCCTGGTGACCTCCATCACCTTCCCTATCATCCGTCATCCAAAACCCCTCTGGTTCCCGACTCATTGGGCCCTCCGATCGCCGATGCCGTCAAGCTTAGGTTTTTGTCGTTCTTCGCCGGATTCTGGTCGATTCCAGTGACGAAAATCTAATTCGACGTCACCACTGCAACCAGCGTCTCCTAATCTACAAAACCCCTATGTCCCAGCAACCGTTTAGTGGCCATTCGCCGGTGGACATCGACGAAAACCAATTGCATGTGACGGCTGTCGTGGCTGTAGATCGGTGGGCGATGAGGGGTTGTCAAGGGTATGGTTCTGTAGAGGGGAGGATGAGGGTTCGAATGGTGGTGACAAGGGTGATTTTGGGTGGAAGAATCGCCGGAAAAGAGCAAAAAACGATGGCAACGATGTTGCTAACGTGCGCCAAATTTTTGTTAAGGGCGACGATCTGCTAATGTGCGCCTCCTCTGTGAAATGACCAATTTATCCCTGAGCTGTTATATCTAACCATTTCCCGTTACTTTAAGGGTGAGAATCTGGAATAAATGGAACCTGTGGTACCAACTTAGGATTTCATCAAACCTTGGGTGAGAACATGTCGTTTACTATTTTTATAATTATCAAAGAAAAAAATGCAAGATTAATGATAAATAAACCAAATAATGAATTTTCTAAACAACAATGCGTGGCAAAATGATAGCAACAATTTTCATAAAAAAAATATACAATTTTGAGTTGACAAAACTTAGGTTGATTAAGATTATCTGAATTGCGGTAGTTGCCTTGTCATTTTTGTATCTCTAGATATACACTACAAGAAACTTATATTACATTCTTGTGGGTGATGCTTGCCTTTTATTCTATTTTCTTTGACTAATTCCATACAAAATATAGTATTTATGTACATATAATTTTGATAAAATCAAAAGATTAAACGTGTATTCATTATTTATATATGTATGTATATATACCATTTATAAAAATGAATTTAAAAATTGTGATATCGAGAATTTATCAAGATCTTTCCTAGATATGAGTTTTTATCTAGAAGTTAGAATGCAGTTGTTGATGTGATAAAGTGTTTACTTTCTTATAATTAATATAATATTGACATTTTAACAAGCGTATCACTTATAATTTAAAGTTGTGATTCTAATTTTGTATATGTAGCATTATTTATGCTCGTTTATATTGACATTTTAACAACTGTTTCTATTAAAATTTAAAGTAGAGGATCTTGCTTTATATGTATAAGCGTCATTTATGTTCATTTATACTGACATTTCAGCGGCAATTATAATTCTATAGGTATAACATTATTCATACTCATTAATGTATCTGTATTATTAGATCCGTAAAAGCTCGGAACCCTAATTCCATAATAAAATATTCTTAGAATAATTTCTTGTGGAATTGACTTCTTCATATAGCAACTCAATTCGATATGATTCTTCTGATTAATTTTAATTTTAATTTATTTATTTATAAAACTATAGGCCGCAGATAAAACCTTCCAAAAATGATTAAAAAGAAAGAAAGGATAAGATTGATTCTGATCAAGAATTTTAGAAGAATTTTTGTCAAATATTCTACCGACTCATGCCGGGCCTGCCGGCTATAATCACAATAAATTAATTGTAACGAAGAATTAATTTGTGCAATAAGCTGTTATCTGTTTGGTAGAAGACCATTTGGTTGATAATCTAATATTCAACACCAAACCAACTTGAATAATTACAACAATTATTTTTTAATATAACACAAGATTAACATGGTAAACAAAAATGATTAATTCATTGGCACTTAATTATTCAGATTTGACTGCTGCTGGGAAATTGTTATACAGGAATTAGACCTTAGTCTTAAGCCTCAAGGGCTTGGGTCAATTTGTTCTAATTTTTATAGTGTAATTATGATATTGCCATCATTTTTTATAAGTATATTGTTGTGATTATAACGATGGACTTATAACAACGGAATGTGAATAGTAATATATTTGAACGATACTCGTAATTGGTATCTTATACACTCATAATTTGCAAGTTTATCGTTAGTTTTAGGTAATTAATATCTATATTAATCAACATTTGATCATGTTTCTGATCAAAGTTTACTATAAAAAATCCTTTATTTGTTACAAATTTATCTTAATTTGTAACAAATATAAATGATTTTTGATATTTTAATGTGATGGACTTCCAACGAATGTTTTTCACATTGTTGTTCAATTATTCCAACACATTTAAAAGATATTTTGATATAATTTCTATGTCGAAACATACCAAATTTTTACTAGTGATCCTTCTTATGAGTAATCTTAAAAACACGTTTATCAGTCATATTTATCCTTGCAAGTTTGATAACATTCAAAGATGACTCAGTAAACAACGTATCAATACCTTTGCAATATTGTAATAACAATTTAGACTTATAATATATCAAAAGTTTTCATTTCAATATTAAATTTTCACTGTTTGCTCAGAAGTATAAGTGGTCATTACTTCGTTAATCCATTATTTCCTCAAGTTAACGGCACTGAAACTTCTATGAAATTTTAATTGTGACAAACTTTTTCAACTTGGACTTGAAAAACAGAAGTGTATTAATGAGCAAAAAGACTAGAAAGTAAACAACAGAGTTAATTATTTTGACCTACCAAATTAAATGGGTGCACAGAAGTAAGACCAAGTCAATCAAAACACAAGACATTATTCTTTATTCCAATTCAAAAAATTAAACAAGTAAAGAATGTTGAACAAGAAACTTGATCTTATCCATTATTCTTTCTTAATCTCCTCTCTATCTTGCGTGTTCAATATGGTGATATTTTATTTTATTTTTTCATTAATTTTGTATGATTTTATTTTCATGCTTATAATTTTCTTGGACGGATGTTTATATTCTTTCAAAGGGGTATTATTGTTTAGAGGATATATATATTAAAAAATCAAAGAAATTGCATTTCTATCAACAAACGAACACTTTTTTTTAAAACTACTTTGAAAAAAATCTGACACTAATCTGTTTATCGATCAAAAGAGTATGTTTATTTATGAAAATACAATTTATATCATTTTTTAAATAATTTTTATCTTTCAATAGTTCTATATAGAAAGAGTTTTTTCTTCTTCTTTTTTTTTTTCCCAAATTTTTATAAAAATATGAGAGTAGCGTGAGATAATTTCCATCTATATGTAAATCTAAATCAATAAGTTAAATTTTCTTAATTTTGGTAAGTGAGATGTTGATGTAGACTCCAATTGTTTCTATCTACAACTATGATAATATATATATACATTGTATATATATAAATAAATACATAATATAGATCTGATTATTATTATAATTAGAGTAGTTATAGTTTGTTCAATGGTTTTCAACTCATACTGTTTGCTTCAACATAAACAAATACCAAATCCAGACTCACTTGAACCATTTGCTCAAATTAAATATTCAATTTCCAATATTTAAATTTGATTTGCCCTCTTGTTTTATGTTGTTTGTACATCATAATCTCTAGGAAGATTGTGCAATTTTCCTCTAAAATTTATATAGTAAAGTCAAATAACAACATGACGTGTTGAAGACTATGAACTTCCCTCTAGCACGATATTCAAAAAAAAAAAAAAAAAAAATTATTGGACAGTATATATCCCTCTCACACTCCCACCAAACCCATTATTAAACCAAAGTCTTCATTTCTCATTTTGCTTCAATTCAATCCTCCTCCTTCTTCTTCTTCTTCTTCTTCTTCTTCTTCATGGAGGGACTCATTCCGATGGTGTTCAAGGCCCTCAAGAAGAACAGGGTTCGGAGTCAATATGAGTGCCTTTCTTCAAAGACACCAGCTCAAAGTTACAACATAGCTGATTTTTATGTTAATGATAATACACAGAATTCTGTGTATCACAATGAACATTCAAGCAATTACGAGAAGGTGGAAGAGAGCTCACATCACCGGCGACACAAGTCGGTCGGAGATTTTTACAGCAATGGTGGAGGAATTCATGGTGGTGGTGGTGGTGGTGACGGCAACGGCGGCTCTCCTCGCGTGGCAAAGCAACTTGTGAGGTTTGGGAGCCATAGAATGTTTTCATGTGTCACAGGTTAATTCTTGAATTAATATTAATTTGGTAATCACAAGTTAAATTAATGTTTTAAATTATGAATGGTTTGTTTTGGTTTAATTTTGATATTTGATGATTGGCAGTTTGTAATTGTATATGCTTAAGAATTATTGAAGTGGTCTAATCTGTACAGCTTAAATTTCTTTTCACATTTAGCTTAAAATAGGTCAAACTTGCCAGCTATATTGAGCTGTTTCTGAGCCCCATCATGGTTCCAACTTCTAACCAAGATCTTTGGTGGGCTCTTAAAATTATTTTTTTTTAATCTTATCGCAATTTCTCATAATTTATTTTTTTAATCTCAATTAGAATCTGTGCACTAAACACATCTCATAGTGTACTAGTATATGATAAAAATAAAAAAATAAATAATTAAAATGGTTTGTCTTTATTCTTAAAGTCTCAAGTTCCCCATATGCATGAGGTGCCACTTTGTTTTGTCTACCCTTTTTATTTTATCTATTTATTATATTTTTTTGTCTACCCTTTTTATTGCATTATTTGTAGAGTGAATGACAATTTTCCGGCCGTAATTACATTTTCCCACTCATAAACTTCGAAAAAAAAAAAAAAACAATTAGTCGCCCATTGCCAATCTTTGTCAATGGATTTTGTTTCTTGACAGGGTAAAGCTATGAAAAGATTATAATACTCTTTACTATTTTACTTTATAATTTGTAAGGAGGCTGAATAACATTTCCCACTCAAACTTTATTAATTTTATTTTTCACCCTAGTTTGGTTTATATTAATTTTAGGATTAATAAATTTAAAAATAAAGTCAATTATTAAAATAAAAAAATATTATAAAAGCGATTCCGGCCAACCTTTTTTTCTCAGTTTTTTTATTTTTATATTTTCAGATTTTTCTTCTTTTTTACAGTTTTTCAGTTTTTTTTGGAAATTATTTTTCTATATGATTTCATAAAATATATACAATTTTAATGAAATATTGTTTTGTAGATATAGAAATTGAAGAAAGGGGTTTAAATAGCTAATTTCCAAGTTGGTGAAGGTAATTGTCATGTGTTTATAATTTAGGGATCTAAAGAATATTAATCCTATAATATATATTGTGAAAACTGACCTGACAAAAATGCCCTTTTGTTGTTAAAACTAACATCTGAATTTAACAATGGGTGGGAATTATATATATATATATATGACGAGTAAGTAAGGCAAACCTAGAGGGTGGTCAGCAAAATTATTTATTAATTCTATGTGATAGTAATTTTGGACTTTACATAGTAAAGGGTACATTCAAAAGCAATTAGTTTTGAGTATTTTAAATTGAAAATGATATTGATTTGATGAATTTTATTTTGGTAACCAAAAATAATGAGGAAGAATGAATTTGGTTGAAAAATGTTACATCAATTAGTTAACCAAATATATTTATATGTTTCAATTAATATTTTTGGTCAAATAAAGACTGCTACACTAGCTTGCTAGCTAGAAAGATATCATTTATAATTAAATGAGTTTAACTTATTGTTTGTAAAAGTCTTTGAAAGCAGCCTAACTAATATCTGCTCCAATTTTGTTACATTAAACCATAATTTAGTACTTTTAATTTTCTCCTAGTATATTACTTTCTTGATTAATGTATTTAATATTATATTTAACTTTCTGATCAGTTCATATTATTAAATTTTCCTTTCACTAAAAAACTTCAAAGGAAAATTAACTTCAGATTGTTTCTCTAATTTTATGGTTTCCGTAACAGAAAGATATACGATTGTGTTACATACGAAGTTAAGATATTGTAACTCGAATTTTTGACTTAATTTTTTTAACATTATTTATAAATAGTATATGCTTATCAATTCAACAGTGTTGAGAGATGTTGGGTTGGTTTTGATGGTAACTATTTTTAAATATTCTTTTAATATCAATAGACCAAGGTAAACATTTCACAGGCAAAACAATAACAAACTTTTTTACTAATTTCTTTTATTCTAATAATTCATTTTCTAATTGTTTGATCGTTGGGATCAGTTATAACTCCATCGGAATCCAAATTTGAAAATTTTTATTCGATCTTCTGAATCAATTTTCTCTTTTTCGTGTTCTAGAAATAGAGAACATACTTTTCTGTTGAAATTAATTTCTTACTAAATATTTGAGATTAAGTTGAGACACAATATGTCATATCCAACATAGTTTGTGAATGAGTATCTGATTCCAGTCAACCTTTTTTTTTTTTATTTTTATTTTTTTTACAATTTTTCAGTTTTATTTTTGGAAATTATATTATTATATAATTCATAAAATATATACAATTTGAATGAAATATTGTTTTGTAATTATAGAAATTGAAGATAGTGGTTTAAATAGCTAATTTCGGAGTTGGTAAAAGTGATTGTTATGTGTTTGTAATTTAGGGGTATAAGTAACATTAACCCTATAATATATGTTGTGCGAATTGACAAAATGCCCTTTTATTGTTAAAACTAACGTCTAATTTAACGATGGGTGAAAAAATGTTTTTCTCAAAGTTTATGGGTGGGAAATGATTGAGGTAAACTTTTGGCGGGAAATAGGGTATTAACTCTTATTTGTATAAGCTTAGCCTATATATATGATCTCTTCTCTTGGTAACAAATACCAATTCATCCTAATATTAAGGAAAATTTCACAATTTACCCTTTAATCATAGTCAAATATCAAGAGGATAAATTCTTTTCTTTTAAATATCTATTGTTTCCAATTAATAACTATCTAGATATTAATAAAAAATAAATTAAAATATCTTATTTGAAAAAATATGTCCTTTATCAGAAACATTTATCTGTTTGATATTATGGCAAACCTAGAAGGTGGTTAGAAAAACTATGTATTAATTCTATGTGATAGTCATTTTGGATTGTACACAGCAAAGCGTACACTCAAAAGTATGGTTATTAGTATCTTACGATACCCGATACGTATCATACGATATGATTCGATATAGGTCATCAATAGTACGTATCAAAAAGTGTATCCTAAACCTTTTGATACGTTGATATGTATTTTACGATATGATATGCATCTGTTTGTATCTTAAAAAATATCGATATAAATCGATACGACTTTATTAATTTGGGCTAAAGGCCCTAAAAAAATTTCGGGTCAAAACCAGGTCACCCAACCCGGTTCACTAAAACCTGCCCAAATTTACCTATTTTGTATGAAGAAATTGAAGAACATGTGTTGTTCATTTTGCATGATAATAATAATACAAGTGAAAATATAAATATTGACATTAATATTAAAAATGATATGAATGGTTGAGAAAAAAATAATATAGATTCTTAATTTCATGATTAATTTTGATTATGTAATACTATAATTTAAAATCAATAATACCACAAAATTCTTTAATTGATATTGATAATGATATTGATTTTTAGAAAAATTTTAATTACTTTATTTATTTTTTAAAAGGACATATCTTACAATATGAAATGCGATATACGATTAAAAAAAACTTAGATTTTGAATATATAATACGGTACAGATTTGACGATCATGCTCAAAAGCATTTAGTTTTGAGTAATTTTAAATTGAAAATTGTTATAAATGGTGGACATCCACAGAAATTGCCACATGTTATAGATTATGTATGACACGTGACCCTTGCTATACTACTCAAGTCTCATGCCACACATGCATTTAAGCAGGTCATTGTATTATTTGCTCACGTGGGCGGCTGACTACCATGGATCCTAATTAGTAAATTCCCGTGTCATTCATGAATTTTCATATTTTATAGTATTTGTGAACTATATACATAGTATGTTTTATTTACGAATTATTCTTATATTTTTTCCGTATCCAAATTATTCCTGTAGTTTATAAACATCTTTTCATAAATTATTGTAGAGTAATATTACAGTTATTGAAAAGAGCATACCAAATTCATACACTGAATGATGTGATGCAATCTTGACTGTTGATTAATATTAATTCATAATTAATCGACAGTCAAGATTGCATTATGTCATTCGGTGCATGAATTCAATGCTCTCCTTTCGGTAATTATATTATTTTCCATTATTGTATCATACCTATAAAATTCTCATACCTTTGTTGTACGCGTATTGATTTTAATTAGGTGGTCTATGAAAAGTGTTAAAACTAGGATTGATATTACTGTATTTTTCAAAATATATTATTGACAATGTGATATATTAAACTCGTATATACTTGTACCATATTTTTCCCATATCCTAATTTTACAATCGAATTTTTAGAAACGTATATTTTTCATCATTTGTCGTATTATACCTGTAAAATTCTCATACTATTTTTTTGCCGCATCTCGTATTTACTACTTAGGCTATAAATAACCACCATTTGTCTTGTAAACATACACATCACAATTAAAGGAAAAGAGTTAATTAAAGTTTCTCATTTCAAGCCTTTTTATTTTGTTCATCTACATTGCAGTCTTTCTTAGTTTATTTTATTACAATTACACCATTAAAATTATAACACAAATGATATCGATTTGATGAATTTTATTTTAGGTCTATAATGTGACTTTTTCTATACTTTTGCAGTACTCGAAAACTCAGTTTAACCAAAAATAACGGAGAAGAATGAATTTGGTTAGAAAATGTTACATCAATTAGTTAACCAAACCGGCATATGTTGTATATATAATTAATTATATGTTTCAATTAATATTTTTGGTCAAATAAATACTGTTACAATTTAATTGAATTTAACTTATTGTTTATAAAAGTCTTTGAAAGCAGCCTAATATCTGCTTCAATTTTGTTACATTAAACCATAATTTAGTACTTCTAATTTCCTCATATATCTTAAGTATATTAATTTCGTGATTAATGTATTTAATACTATATTTAACTTGCTGACTAGTTCATATTATTAAATTTTCCTTTCACTAGAAAACTTCAAAGGAAAATTAATGTAAAATTGTTTCTCCAGTGTTTGGATATCATCACAGCATCTAGCGTTAAAGTCAAATTAAAAAGATATATGATTGTGTTATATACAAGGTCCAAATATTGTGGTTCAAATTTTTTTACTTAATTTTTTAACATTATTTCCGAATAATATATCATTGCAATTTAACAGTGTTTT